AAGAGATCTTTTAGGTAATAAAATTATTTTTAAAGTTAATTTAGATTAATTTATTATAATAAAATAAAATAATTATATTTTTTAAGAATTAGTAATTAAATATATAGATCTTTTTTAAGATAAGTTTATATTTAAGAAAACTTTTTAGAATATAATATATTTATATATAGATCTTTAAGGTTAACTTATTTTATAATATAAGGAGTTTTATATTAAAGTAAAAAACTATCTCTTCTAATAGTCCCTAACTATCTATAGTTATTATAACTACTAATTAGTATTAGTCTATTAGGGAATATATATATATATTATGTTATAGGTTAGTTAGTGTTCTTAATTATAGTTATTATTATTAGGTAGGCCTTAGCCTGTAGCTGTTAATCTAAGTATAAAAGTGGGTTAAACATTGATTTGGGCCAATGAGAGGGCTGCATTCGTTGAGGCAGCTGGTGGCTGCAACAGTACTGATACTGAATCTGCCGTGGTGCCCCTTTTTTATCCCTGGCCGAGCTGGAATAGCAAGATAGACGTCTAGCACATGATGGCTGGATGTGAAGGCGGTACGTAAATGAGGGTTGGGTGATTCTCAATCCAGGCCGAGAACGAAATGCGACTCTGAGTGATTTCATGTCGCTGACGAGAAACCAGCATGACGAGTGATGTTGCAGCAGGGTTGGTGAAAGGCATCACGGCCACTACGCTTGGCGCGCTGGCCAGTTTGAATTTGTGGGTCTCTAAAGTAAGGCAAATAAGGCTCATCATCAGAGACAATGCTTCCTTAGACATTCAGATCGCTGCGCTGCCTTGTTCAACGATATATATCCCGTAGGAGTAATAAAATTGCCAGTGCTAGGCAGCCTGCGCTGCGATAGCCCAATTATTCTTCGTGGGGAAATGGTCCAAGCTACGGAGCTACAACTGGGCACCGAAAACCCTATTTCCAATCCAATGACTCTGGCGTCAGGTATTTCTAATTATATATGCACCAGTAATTGCTTCCGACGCATCGCATTCCGGTCATCGGTCGCAATGAAACTAACCTGGCTTTTACCCCGCGCTAACCGGCTGGCATGCGCCTGTGTTGTCCAACTAGCCGGCAGCAACATATAAATCTTGGCTCCAAGTCAAGCTGGCAGTTTTTTTTTTTCATTTTTTTTTTTCATTCAATTCGGAACATCACCCGTATCTTCTTCAACCTCTACACAAAGTTGCCTAGTCTGACCCCTTGCAATGGTGCAACCTTCTCTCGGGGCCATTGTTAGCTCTGCCCTGCTAGGGTCGATTGGCGGCTTCGACTCTGCTTCTGCGCCAGATGTTGCCGGCCCAGCGCCCGTGGTCAACTTGACAGGTATCGGGCAATACCAAGGAATCCGCTTGTTCGAGAGCATCAGTGGCTCCAAGCTACCACACTCGGTGGATGCCTGGCTTGGCATCGACTATGCTCTCCAGCCAGCGGGTGACCGACGATTCAAGCCCGTGGAGCAGCCGCCCGAACAATTTGATGGCATGAGAGATGCAGCCAGCTTCGGCCCCATCTGCACTCAGGACAAGACCTACGAGTACAAAGATCAGCAATCGGAATCTTGTCTCAATTTCAACGTCTATCGACCAGCGGGTATTCCAATGACCCAGCGACTTCCGACACTGGTGTGGATTCATGGCGGTGCCTTTTCCTTGTACTCGGGACGGACTATGGACGGCGGCTCCTTCGTAGCATCGTCGGAACAGCCAGTGATGGTAGTCACCTTCAACTACCGACTGAATTCTTTGGGATTCCTACCAAGCAGTCTTTTTGAGAGGCTCGGCTTGTTGAATCTCGGGCTAAGAGACCAGCACTTTTTTCTGCAATTTCTACAGACTCATCTGCACTCGTTTGGCGGCGACCCAGACCAGATTACACTCGGTGGTCTGTCTGCGGGCTCACACTCTGCAGCATTTGAGTATTTCCACAACTATGGGCAAGATGAAGACGCGCCTCTATTTGCGCGCGTGCTGCTTCAATCTGGCGCAATCACGGCGCGGGCATTTCCCGACATTACCTATCCTCGATACGAGAGCGATTTCGAGAGGCTAATGCATCACATCGGTTGCAGCATTGATGAGAGCGACGAAGCGCAGATTCGTTGCTTGCGTGATGCACCGATAGATGAGATTGAGCAAATCAGCTCCAAGATATATGCAGAGGCCGAGAGTAATTTGAATTGGCCTTGGCAGCCCGTGGTAGGCGGGCCACGCTTGGAGCGGCCCGGCTCCCAGGGCTACCGCGACGGGACTTTTCATCAAGTACCAATCATCAGCACCCACACAACCGACGAGGGAAAATACTACACTCCCGGCCATCTTGAGACAAATGACGATTTTATTCGGTTTTGGCAAAATCTCAGCCCGAATCTCAACGTCACGGACCTTGCCATCTTGAACGAACTATATCCAGACCCGGTGGCGCATCCAGACTCGGCATGGGCCCAATCACCAAATAGCACCCAGTATAATCGAGTGTCCGGGTCGTGGTCAGACATGGCCTACATCTGCCCGAGCCGAGCGACGGCTTCTACAACCTCCAACAAGGGCGTTGCTACGTGGCGACTGCGCTTCAACACGCCAGGACATCCTCTCGAAGCTCATGGCTGGCGAGGTATCCCCCACGCCTCGGACGCTGCATACATCTGGAACGAGCCGACAGTTCCGTTTCCAGAGGTGGCGCGCATGTATCACGCCTACATGGCAAGTTTTGTAGCAGCGGGCGACCCAAACAAGTTTCGCCTTGATGGATCGCCGGAATGGCCGCAGTACAAAGCTAGCGACAGGCTGAATGGTGGTTGCTGCCCTGAGCAACTTGCTGTGAGTCCGGGTAACACAAAAGCGGAATGTGACAATGCTCGAATCCGGCATTGTGAATTTTGGAATGATGGTGAGCGCGCGCTTAGGCTCAATAAATAGGGAAGCTATACCCTGATGAAGATTTTAATTAGAAGAATATATGAAATGAGTTGTTTGCTAATACTAAACCCTTTTGAAACGGAATCTGTCTTGTTCTCTCCGCGATATAATAGATGGCCCCCAAATGCCGGCTTCGGCCCAAGCTAGCGCTATTGTTGCGGGGGAATCACCCCAATAATCGAGTGTAATATCAGGTGGCACTTCTCCGCATTGTGACGGGCCGGTCCAGTCAACACATGTCTCTTACAAATACATAGTTTCATGTTCTGGCCAACGCACAAGTAGTCTCTGGCATGCAGTTGCTGGAACACAAACTTGAACAGCATCCTGTACAAGTTCAACAAATAGAAAATGGCCATGAAAATACCAGTATCCGAGGTGCGCAAGCATAGCAGCTCTGACAGTTGCTGGATCGTGGTTGATGGCCATGTCTATGACATGACTAGTTTTGCGCCAACTCATCCAGGGGGCGCACAAAGTATGTAACGAACAGACCCAATTTCTTTGATATTTTTGACTGACTCACTTTAGTTATATATCGCTATGCCGGAAAGGATGCCACAGATCAGTACAATGCAGTACATGCACCATCGCTCATCTCAAAGACGCTGGACTCTGATCATCATGTCGGCAGGCTGGATGAGACGTCGGCTCCCAAAGACTGGACATCAAGTAAATCTAAAGGTCCCGCCGAGTCCGCAGGCGCGAGATATCCGCTGTCCAGTATCATCAACCTTTACGATTTTGAAGCCTCGGCAAAGAGCTCATTCAGCCCAAAGTCATGGGCGTACGTCAAAAGTGCATCCAATGACTGCATCACAAGAGATGCCAACATTGAGATGCTCAAGAGAATCTGGTTCCGGCCCGCTGTCATGCGAAATGTAGCAAGCGTCAATACAGGCACCTCACTTTTCGGGTGCAACCTTGACATACCCGTCTACATCTCGGCTGTTGGTACTGTCCGCGCAGCTCACCCCCAAGGTGAGCTAGCCTTTGCCAGAGGCGCCGCGTCGTCGGGCATTGTTCACTGCATCTCAACGTCGGCCTCCTATCCCCGCGAGGAAATTCTCGACGCAACACCCAAACACGCTTGGTTCCAGCTCTACGTGGATAAAGACCGCCGAAAGACGGAGCAGTTACTGCAGCTCCTCCAGAAATCTGGTAAAATCAAGGCGTTATTCGTGACGGTGGACTTGGCTGTCGTGTCAAAGCGTGAAGAGGACGAACGTGCCAATCAAGGACCGATTGATGGGCTTGGAGTGCCAGACAACAAGGGCGCCGGGCTTGCGCGACAGTCTGCCGCATTCATTGATCCTGAATTGTCGTGGGCGGATATACCTTGGATTCGAAAATTCTCAAATCTTCCCATCATTGTCAAAGGCATTCAAAGATGGGAGGATGCGCAAATGGTAATTCAGCATGGCTGTAATGGCATTGTTGTGAGCAACCATGGTGGCAGGGCGGCCGATACGGCACAGCCTGCGATAATCACGTTGCTCGAACTGCACAAAAACTTACCGGAAGCGTTTGACAAACTCACTATTCTCATAGACGGGGGCTTTAGACGAGGCTCAGACGTTGTCAAGGCCATTTGTCTTGGGGCGTCTGCCGTGGGCCTGGGCAGATCGTTTATGTACTCTGTCAATTACGGAGAGGCGGGCGTAGTGCATGCCACGAGCTGTAAGTATAGCAATGATGTAATGGAGTTTCTCTTTCTTTCTCTCTCTTTCTTTTTTTTTCCTTTCTTTTCTTTTTCTTTTTTTTTTTCAAGGCCTTCTTTGCCCAACTAACACAAATCTCAAAGTGCTGCGTGAAGAAATTGCGACGGCAATGAGGCTCTGCGGCATGACGAACCTAATGGCCGATGCCAGCCCCCGCTTCCTCAATACAAAATTGGTGGATGGCTATGTGGCGGATCGCGAGCACGAGTACTTGCGGGAGCCGAAAAGAGTCATTTCGAAGATGTAAGCTCACAGAAAAGGTTACGACTACCTTCTAGTTAGGAGACTCTCGCGTTACGCTCGAGATGAATAAGGGCAGGCGCGACTTGAGTGCTGCAGTTGGACCACCGCCGAGAAGAAGAAGTTGCGAAAACTTGCAAATAATAAACTAGAATATCAATTTTTTAAGAGGTGTATCCTCTTTGCTCTCCTTCAAATGATGATTGCAAGTACTATTATGGAAGCTTTCCACACATTCGGGTACGTACCCAGTACTACGAATGACATGGACCGGGCACTTGTATCCCCCGCTCCTTTGCTGACCTCAGACGATCGCGTTGACCCGTCTTCATAAGTTTTTGTATGGTATAAGTACTTATCAATCCTGGCAGAACTGGGGCAATCTTGCCCTCACGCAATTCAGCCTCATGGTGGCTTGTCATTACTCAACTTATACGGAGTGGTAGCCTCACAGTGGCTTGTCACTACTCAACTTTTTTCTAGGCGGTTTTGCTTTTTCTTGCTCGCGCAAACAATGGGTTCCATAGATCCTTGTTGCATGCATGGCCCGCTAAAAGAGATAATGACAAGTCTGCAAGGCCGCAGCACTCATCATACTATACTGCGACACTGCGACAGCAACTCTCTGTGGAATCTTGTCCTTAGATAAGATAAATTGACGTCCTATCAAGATATCACGCGCGGGCTACGGGACATGATTGTATAACTACATAATAAATTCTATCTTGCAAGGCTACGTGTCTTAATTATTACTAGTTCTTTCTTAGCTGAGGTGGGTGGGGCTTACATGGACCGGCTCGGCACTTCCAGCTCGGCAGTTCGCGTTGGATCTAGATAGCCAGTAATACGTGTTGAAGAGAGATTGTTTGGACTATGACAGAGAAACAGTATTATAATGGTAGTCCAAGAAGTTGAAACTCTAATTCTACCAGTATTCAATGCAACTGTCGATAATTTTGACTCTCGAGGCGCTGCTGAGTTGGCCTGGGGTGGCCCTTGTCCCACAAATCATACGGCAAACCCCACGCCTGGACGAGAAACTCCAATAGTCTCGCTTGTATGGACCTCGGGTACATCTATAGCTAGAATAGTGTAATATGCGTAACATCTGGATTGGACGCTGCACTGTCAGAAGATCGTCTTGGGGCTTGAAACTCGGACGGATTTGAGCCGCGCTGGGCGCAGCACAGACCCAGCGAGATGGTCAGTGAAGACGATCTCCCAGAAAAGTGGTTGCAGCGTGGCGTGAGACGATTGGAACAAGTGCAAAGAACTAATCATGGAAGTCTCCATGTGAAAACTTGGCCGAGCCACGTTGCCACGCATCTTCGAGTACCCATCGGCATGGTTTCTGTCCGCGGAAGCTGCTCCATATCCGCCGCAGCTACACCTTCCCCCCCAGGCGAGGCACCGCCGCTAAAGAAGGAACGAGCGCAGTGCTTAGTCGGACGCTGAGTATGATTCTTTCTTGCAACCTTTATCTCTGCTTCAATTCATTCGGTACTCCAATTTCGCAATTCGAAGCATCAAGACCATGGCAATATCGAATAAAGACAAACCCACTGTTGTGATTATTGGGGCGGGACTGACGGGGTTACTTGCAGCACAAGGGCTAAAGCAGGTGAGACAGATTATGCAGAAGCTGCAATCCTCGATCCTTTATTTTGACAGAATTAGAATGGGTTTAGAGCGATTGTCGTTGAAAAGGAAGAGGGCATCGATGCGCGGCCTCGGGAATGGACGATGCTCGTGCATTGGGCCATGCCCATTTTTCAGCGTCTGGTACCCGAGGATATCCTCCAAGACCTGGACGATGCTCTTTGCAACCCACATCTTCAATTTGACGCAGAAGTAGAGACTCTCCCTTGCTATAATGGCGTCACAGGAAAGCTTCTCTTCCGCAGTCCTACGCCCGGCGCACGACGTGTCAGCCGTAGACGTTTGCGCGCGCTCCTTGCTCGAGATGTTGACATACGATGGGGCTTGTCTTTGAGAAAAATCACTCAATTGGAGAATGGCATCAGAGCAAACTTTGAAAACGGCACATCAATTGATGCCGACTACCTTTTCGGAGCCGATGGCACTTCATCGAGAGTGAGGGAGTTGCTTGTCGGAGCAGAGGCGGCGCAGCCCCAAGGTTCCGGATTCTTATTCGCGACGGGCATCAATCAGTTTGAAGAAGCGGAAAAGACTGGTGTCATTGTCAACAAGCACCCTGTGGCAGCACTTATGATGGGAACCGGCTCCGTCGGCGGCATTGGCGGTTTGTGAAATCCATTGCTTTTGCAAGGCCTAATTTCAGTGGAGCCAACGCTTACATGGTCTCGTAATAGTTGTTTCCGTCAAGAAGCCCTTTGATAAATCCACGTGGACAACGTTTTGGGTCAAAATATGGCGTGGCGAACCAATCGACCTCCAAGGACGCGCCGCGCTTGACTATGTCAGAAAACGAACAGCTCCGTTGCGTGACGAGTTTCAACTAGCGATAGATTGGACTCGGGATGATTCCTATGTCAGCGTGAATGAAATGAAGTATTGGGTTCCAGTAGCCTGGGACAACTTGGATGGGCGTGCCACGCTCGCTGGAGACGCAGCTCATCCAATGCTTATTTGTAAGTCGTTTGGTGATGCCTTGCATGTTACAAGGGCATGTATCTAACTTTGAGAAGATCGTGGTCAGGGCTTCCAACACTCAATTACGGATGTGGATAATTATGTCAGTGCACTCGTGCATCTGCATGCTCCAAATACTGCGGGGAACAACGTGTCAAGGGTGGACGTTATGGGTGCATACGATGACGAAGTGGTTCAAAGAGGCGCCACTGCTGTGGAACAGTCTCTTTGCGAGGCGGAAAAATCGCTCGATATTCACACGGTAGAACAGATGTTGATGGCAACCAAGGGGCACGGAAAATAGGTGGTGGCTTTCGCTTTACAAGGTAAGTAGTTTTGTCCGCGCGTGCGAGTGGCCAGTGAGAAGATTTCCAAGTCGTCAAGATCATTTTTTAAATATAACTGTAAAATGGAGGGTGCAAGCTGTTTTTTATTTTTGTTTTAATTTTTATTTTTCTTCATTTTTTCTAGTGCCGGCATATTACAGTTTCATGCAAGCCGCGCCGGCGCCGGGAGCAAAACCCCCGCCCGACCGTTGCAGACGCTCGTGGTGACTGGTCGTTTTTTTCTCCAGCCAAGCAACTTGGGACGCAGGGCGCCCTTTTTGCGCATGCAAACAAACA